CCCGGGCCACGCAACAGAAACGCTTTTTATTTTTTCATCCTCTTAGCAGGCGGTGAATCAGCAGCGAAACCTTTCCTCCCACCGCGCGCTGGTCCCCCCAGCCGCTCTCCTGAAGGCTGATGATTTGTGGGGGAGGCCCCCCCGCGGGCTGCAGGGGGGGGCTCCAGTGCTGGGAGCCACGTCCCCGGCCAGAGCCCTGGTGCTGGGCAGACCCGGGGTGCTGGCGGGGGAAGCCCGCAGGGGTGCCCGCAGACCTTTCTGTAACCCTAGGGCAGCTCTGCAGCAACGTGCTTGTTTTCCCAGGTTACGGCTTTTAGTTTAAACCAGGATTAACAGGTTTTAGGAAAGGACTGCCCAGGGGGAGCTGCAGGAGCTGCAGCCCTAGAGCTGTGTCGGCGGGAGCCCGGCTGCACAGGGACAACCGGATCGAGGAGAAGGGGCCCAACGCTGCTCCTGCGGCGCCGGGGTCCCCGCCCGCAGGTGCGCGGGGTCCCGGTTTATTTGCAGTTTGACATTTGCGTTGGGCGAGCGCTGAGGGGCCGCTGGTGTGGCAGCACAGAAGACACAGCTATCAGCATTGCGAATATTTTGGCTGCTAACACCTCACTTTTTGTGTGGTTTTTTTTTTGTTTGTTTGTTTGTTTGTTTGTTTGTTTGATGCAATATTTATACCGGGTTGTTTTAAATCGTTTCCAGAACGAGATAGTGATTGTTTTGACCAATTTTATTTTTAAAGCCAGTCCACTGTCGTGCTTTGTTCCTATGGAGCAGGCTCCTTGGACTTTCTTGGCTCAGGATATTTGAGATGTGCAACGTGTCTCTCACTGAGTGTGAACAGGGAAGCAAGTCTGCTGTTTAAAATACAGCCGCTTCCCCGTGCATGCAGTCGGTAGTTCGGTGGGCAGCATCCTCACAGCTTTGGTTTTAAGTACTCTCATCACCTTCTCATCTCGGCTGCGTTATGGGTAATTCCTATTTTGAGTTTTGATATTTAAGAGCTGACTGTTATTGCAGAAGCTGCTGGAGGAAGTCCCGTCCCGTGTTAACTGGGGTGAGCCGGGGGCTGCTGCAGCCCCGGTGCTTTCGCCCCCCCCCCGGGCAGCAGCACGTCCCTTGCTCCATCTGCCGGGCAGCTGCATCTCGCCCAGGTTTTCCCCTGGCACCAGGGTCTCTCCAAGTGCCCGGTGGAATTTTATTTCTGCTGGATCGGCACTGACAGCGGGGTGCAAGGCAGGCTGAACCGGCTCCCGGAGCCAAAAGGAAAGGGAGAGGGAAGTTTGGAGCTGAGAAGCGTGAGGGGCTGCCTCAGCCCTTTGGTCTCAGCATCGCCGTTACCCCCTGGCCGCAGGCTGGCGTGGGGGGCTGTGTCAGCCCGTTTGCCTCAGCACTGCTGTTACACCATTCCCCCCCCGGCCTGTCAGCCCATGGCAGCTGCCCGTTTCAGCACCATTTCCCAGGCTGGGCCGTGAGGACAAATCCTGCCCGGAGCTGGAACACCACACGCCAAGCTGCGGGTGCGCGCAGGGCCGGAGGGCGAGGGGGGTCCTGCGGGGGCTGATGGTGTCGATGGCTCACACACGCACACCCCCACCCCCACACACACCCACCCCGGTACCACTGTGGGCACCTGGGCAATACGGGGCGGGAACAGGGAATGAGCTCTGTGGCAACCAGCGAACTGGTGGTGGCAACTATAAAGGGGCTGCGTGCTCCTGCCTGGGCAGCTGGCTCCCTCCCCATCGCCTGCCCAGCTCCCTCCCCATCGCCTGCCCAGCTTGCTTTCTCTCACCGCTGAAGTTTTTTGCCTGTCGAAGCCTTTCCCTTGCTTTCTCCCCGTTGCCTGCCCCGGGGCCGGACTGTCGGGATGCCGGGAGTCTCGTGGTGGTGGGAGCCAGCATCGCTGCGTCTCTTCTGTTGGCTTGCTTAGGTCCTGATTTGTCCTGATTTGTCCTTTCTTCTTCCTTCTGTCCTGCCGCTATTATCAGTTATTTCGTGACACAAGGCTTACACGGTTTGTGCAGCACCTGACCTTGTTTGTGTCTTCACCTCACTCTCGGGGTCGTTTAAGAACCCTCCCTGATATTGGATCGGGACAGGACGGAACATGAGCAGCCAACTTCAGACCTCGAGCTGCCTCTGTCCTCTAGCCTAGCATGAGTCCAGGTACCTCAAAACTCCCCGTTATCCCCTCTGCAGCTCCTGATGTCTGAGAACGTCTTGTGCATCCCTGCACACACCTGACCTTCCCTCTCTCGTTGCCTGACTTCTTCCTTCTGCTCTGGATTTGCAGAACATCAGTTGAAGGTATTTGTGCAACAAAGGTTGATTCTCCATTCACTCTGGTCTAAGGGGAAGTGTCTGGAAGAAAAATACACTTACATCCTGTTAAAATCAAGTGTGGAGAAAATCTGGGCATTGCTGTTTACACGTGATGGGAATCTAAGTTCATGCTGCAACACGTTGCAGACCGCGGGTCTTCGCAATTGGGGTTTGTGCCTCTGGCTGTGGCTGTTGGCAGATCAGAGAAGGTGATACAGGGCATTTGGGGGTGGTGGAAGAGCTGAAGCTTCTGAAGTAACGTCCTGCAGTATCTTTGCTTTCAGGTGAAACATGCCACCGTCCAACCTTACCAGCCTGACGCCGGACACGTTCATCCTGGCTGGCATCCCCGGCATGGAGAGGTGGCACATCTGGATCTCCGTCCCCTTCTGCTCCATGTACCTGGCGATCCTGCTGGGAAACGGTGCCGTGCTCTTTGTCATAAGGACGGAGCGTGGCCTCCACCAGCCCATGTACCTCTTCTTGGCCATGCTGGCCATCGCCGACCTGGCGCTCTCAACCACCACCGTGCCCAAGATGCTGGCTCTGTTCTGGTTCAGCGCCGGGGAGATTTCCTTCGGCGCCTGCCTCACCCAGATGTTCTTCCTGCACTTCAGCTTCTCGGCGGAGTCGGTGATCCTGCTGGCCATGGCGCTGGATCGCTTCGTCGCCATCTGCCACCCGCTGCGCTATGCGGCGGTGCTGACCCCCACAGCTGTTGCCAAAACCGGGCTGGTGGCTTTACTGAGGAGTTTCTGCATCATTTTCCCTTGTGTGTTTCTCCTGAGGCGGTTGCCGTTCTGCGGGCACAGCGTCATCCCGCACACCTACTGCGAGCACATGGGCATCGCCCGCCTGGCCTGCGCCGACATCTCCGCCAACGTCTGGTACGGCCTGGCGGGGCCCATTGCAGCCGTGGTGGCGGATGTCGTCCTCATTGCTGTCTCCTATGTCCTAATTCTCCTGGCGTTATTCAGGCTCCCCTCCAGGACTGCCCGTCGCAAGGCTTTCAGCACCTGTGGCTCTCACATCTGTGTTATATTCCTTTTCTATGTTCCTGCTTTTTTCACCGTTTTAACGCATCGCTTTGGTCAGGAAATCCCCCAGCACGTCCACATTCTGCTGGCCAACCTCTACGTGCTCTTCCCCCCGCTGCTGAACCCCGTCGTGTACGGTGTGCGGACACAACAGATAAAAGAGAAGGTGGTGAAAGTGTTCCTCTGCCCCCAGAGCCGTTTGCTGCAAGGACAGGGGTGAGGTGGCACCATCAGGAAGCGATGGACGCCTCGGGGGGGCTCCAGGCCCCCTCCCCAAATGCTCTTTGCGCTGTCTCAGGCAACGTGCTTAAGTCTCCTGCTGTCGTGGTCAAAGAGGGAACACCCGACATCCCCGCATCACTTTCCCCAGCGATTTCTAGGAAGTGTAAGACAAAAGTCAGGATCTCTAACTGCTGGGTGTCACAGAGAGGAGAACCTACCCCGGGGATGGCACCTGTGGGAAATCCCCCGGGAGGTGGGAGGTGGGGGCAGGCGACATTAACTCCATCTCAGCCGCTTTCGCCGGAGTCGGGTGAAACGACGTGTAATGAACTTGTTCTGAATCACAGCTGTGTCAGGGAGTTCGTTCGCTTTAGGAATTGCTTCTTTATTGAAATTCGTAGCGCTGAAAATGTCTCCAAAAGGAATAACACAGAAATAAAAGCAAGACCAACGTGCATGGGCTCTCTTGATTCCTTAACTGGATGATCTGACCATACACTGAGTAAACACGCAGGTGAAAAACTGTTCCCAAAACTATTTGTTTTTCACTAAGATAGAACAGAGGGGGATGCTTGAGTGGCATCAGACCAGGCGTCCTTTGGCTCCAGCAGTGCCACTCCGCTCAGACAGACCCTCCCAGTGCTCTGAGTGTCCCGTCCTCATGCACCCCCCCGAAAAGCTGCCCCTATGAGAAAGCCGCTGCCCGGTTTAGAGGGGCCGAGAGCTCACTGACGGGTCAGAGCAAGACAGAAAGAGAGGCTGAGGTGGGACCACGGCTGCGGGGAAAGGCGAGCTGCAGCGGGAAGGCGCAGGAGGGGGGTGATCCCGGCCCTGGGGCTGTACCTGCACCTCCCGCGGGGTGGAAGGGGGAGACGCAGCCAGGGCCCCCTCCCGGGTGTGCGCTCGGCGGGAGGGGAACAGCTGGGGGGCACCGAGGTACCAGACACCCTCTCTGCGGCGAAGAACGAGCAGCTTGAAAACTTCACCCCAACAGAGGATCCCTTCCAGATGTTTGCTGCTGACCAGATGTTTCTGCTGACGCACAGACCCACCGGCTCCCCGGGAGCTCAGTGCTGGCCCTTCCTCTCAGGGTGCAGTGGCACGGCACCCCGGGAAGTCCGAGTGCTGCAGGGACGTGTCCTGCATTTGGTGGCACTTCAGTGTCACCACGGCCCCGCTTTCAGGCTTATGGGCTAAAATGGGAACGGGACACGTGGGCCACAGAGTGACAAGACACAAAACGTGGGTGCAAAGCCCAGCACTGTCACCGGTAAGTGAGGGTGGGCAGGGCGCTTTCGACAGGCTCAGGGTAACCCCTGGCAGGGTGCCTGGCTGTGGCGCTGCGAGCCCAGCACGGCAGAGCTGCACGGAGCCATGGGAGGGAGGGGGCAGATCCAAACTGTTTGAAATAATGATGTGTAACCTCTACGGGCCACGGGTCTTCCCCTTCGGGAGTGAATTCACAGGTTGGGGGAATCTCTGCCATCTAGAAAGTAGAGACTAACTACCACTGTTATCAAATCCTAAAAAGAGATTGCTCCAGGGTTGCTGCTTTCCTGGAACATCTGGCCAAGAGCTCTCGGGCGTCGCTTTGCCGCAGGAGCTGGAGGACCAGCAGCGCGTGGCCCAGAGGGGAGCTGCAGGCGTGGATGGAGCTGCCGAGCATCTCCGGGTCAGCGACTTGTGCGACCGACGGCGTTGCTAAAATGCCCTCTTTCATTTGAGTTACTCCATCTAGAAAAATAACCCCCAAAATATTGAATGCCACTCTATAAGATGGAACATAATAGTTTTCTTTCGGTGGCTTGACTTAATTTCTTGTTAGTCAGAGGACTCCACGGGGTTGTTATTTAATGAAGAAATTATAAATAAAACACATGACCCGTGTTACCCGTTTAGAGGTGGCTGTCAGGAGCCAGAAGGCTGATGCTTGCCTCCAAGTCAGAGCAGTTTCCAGTAGCAGGGCCGTGTATAATTTATTGTTCTCTCTCCAGCAATGGGCATTTAATTCATCATTCATTTAACGGCGGGCGCTTAATGTTATAGTAGAAATCACGGCTGTATCATCCAAACCAGCACACGGCCGCCTAACGAGGGACCGGAGGGTTTGCAGCATCTATGAAACTGCCAGTTTACGAAGGCAGAAGGAAACAAGAGTTATTTATTCTCATTCTGAGCAGCGGAGATGGGTTAAGTGATTTGCCTCAGGTATATCAAGCCTCACTTCAGAGAGCTAAATGGGATTAAGGGCTTTCACGGTAAAGTCTCTTTTTCCAAACCCTTAGTGGCCACGGGCTAAGGGTGCAAAAAAGATCCGTACGCCCACATTCAGGTTTTAGGTTTATATGTGCTGAAGGAGGAACGTGACAAGTGGACTGTATCGGGGAAAGGCATGAAACGGGAGTGCAAAACCGTGCTGGAAACCCTCTGCCCCTGCATCCCTGCTGTGAGGAGAGGCTGCGAGCACCGGGGCTGCTCAGCCTGCAGAGCGAAGGGCTCGGGGAATCTTATCAAGGGGCATAAAGAGCTGATAGGAGGGAATGAGGACGGGGAGACAGACTCTTCCCAGCGGTGTCCAGTGATGCAGTAGCAGGTAATGGGCACAAACTGGAATGCAGGAAATTCCTCCTAAACAGAAGCAAACACCAGTCAAGCTCTGGCACAGGTTTCCCAGGGAGGCTGCGGAGTCGCCATCCTTGGAGATACCCAAACCCTCTTTGGACGTGGTCCTGGGCAGCGGCTCTGGGTGGCCCTGCCCGAGCTGGGGCTTGGCCCTGGTGGTCTCCAGACATCCCTCAACCAGGCTGAAATGCTGGGGCACGGGGCCGTGGCTCCCATGGAGTGGATCCGACAGCTGGCAGTCGGTGGCCATACACAAACCACAAAAGACCAGACCTGCAGCTGATGTGGGTTGACTTAGATCCTCTAAAGCCTCTGAAGGCACCTCAGATCTTGGCTGTTGAGGAAAGATATCTAACAAGCCTTTAAACTGCACCTGTTCTGCTGCTTAGGTCTCGCTTCATGATACAGAAATGTTTTTTTTTCCCCTGAAAATTGTCTACAGCCCAAGGAATATCGGTGCTAAATAAGCGGCTGAGAAATGGTCTAAATCCAGCAGCTTCTCTGCCTTAAGCCTGGCCTGCTGTAATGAAATCTGCCCCCAGACTCTTGGTTTAGCACTTAATTCCTTTCTTCTCTGCTGGGGCAGATCCTGACCTCCCTACACATCCCAGATGTCAACAAATAATTAAACAAGAAACCATCTCAGGTCCAAAACCAGCCAAGTGTCACTTAGCTCCTAACCTTGCAAAACTGCTGTGAAGATGATCCAGCACCGTCACAAAAGAGAGAAAGAAACTAGTGCTCCAACACTCAGCAAGCAGCAGATCTACAGCATCGTTCGCTCATAAAGCAGAGATGATGCGTCTCTTTTTGCCAGAAATCACTGATTCTACGTAGTTCTGAGGTAAAAAAACAAATCTAAATTCAGCTTTGGTTTCCAACGTCCGAGTTGCGTTAGGTCAAGCTACTAACTCGGGTTTAATTTCCTCTAGTGGAAGGTGTCCCTCCCCACGGCAGGGGCATGGGGAGTAGATCAGCTTCAAGGTCCCTTCCAACCCAAACCATTCTGTGTTTCCGTGATTTAATCATACCGCAGATTCTGCACGTCTGCCACCTTCGCACGAACCACAATAATCTCTTGGCACGCGCGTGTCAAAGCTGGGCTGATATTTGGCAGTGGGTTTGTTTTAGGAACGTGTGTCTTGTCCTGAACGTTGCTGCTTTAAAGGATAATGAAGGAGCGGTTTTCCTGGAGGGCTGGAGAATTGGATCAACACTTTGCTGGTCAGTAAACCCCTTTAGATTCCAGTGGTGAACCTGCAGCAGTGTGGTGGCGTCACGGAGCAAAGAGCCTGTGCAGGGGCTTGGGAGGGATCGCGGGCGCGAGGCCGGGGGGTGCCTGGGCAGGGTGTGCCCGGCGGGGTCCCCCGGAGCAGCGGGGTGCAAGGCCCTGGGGCCCCTGGGTCGCCCGCACGGCCTCAGCGCGTGAGCACAAACCCGCGTCCCTCGCCACTCTGCAGGGGCTTGAGTCGGTAGAGAGGGGAAATCAAACGCGGGGCTGAACTCAGCGACACCCCGGGGAACCCCCGCCCCGGCTCTGGGCCTGGGGAAGCAATCCCGGAATCCCAGAATCCCACAGTCCCGGAATCCCAGAATCCTGGGATCGTCAAGGTTGGAAAAGACCTTGAAGATCATCCAGCCCAAGCATTAACCTAACCCAACCTAACCCAACCTAATCCAACCTAACCCGACCTAACCCAACCTAACCTAACCCAACCTGAACTAACCCAATCCAGCCTAACCTAACCCAACCTGACCTAGCCTAACCCAACCTAATCTGATCTAACCCAACCCAACCTAACCTAACCCAAACTGACCTAACCTAACCTGACCTAACCTGACCCAACGCTCGCTCAGACACCTGCCAGGTCGGAACAGGTCCTGCGCCAACGCTAAGAAAAATGCTGCCCTGTTTCTAATTACTCCATAATTACTTTCTACAGTCGTTACCGAAGCGTAGGCGTGTTTACACGTGTGACACAGCGAGGCTGTGCCGCTTACAGCTCTGGGCCGGGTCTGACCAAAGCCGGGTTCCCATCAGCCTGGCTCGGCCGTAGGAATGAGCCGGTCCAGCCCCAGAGCACCCGCCTCGGGCTCAGCTCCTGCTCCAGGCGCGGGCAGGGGCGGCGCTGGGGCAGGGGCCGGCGCTGGCACAACGGGACGTCGGTTCGTTACCTCCCTCGGTTTTGGAGGACTCAGGCTCCACCAGGCGCAGAGGCTCTGCCAGAGGCTCATTCTGGGGACGGAGTTTCTGGGGGGCCTGTAGCAGTAGGACGAGGGCGGGTGGTTTTATGCAGCAGGAAGGTGGGCTCGGACTGGGTGCAAGGAAGGAATCTGTGATGATGAGGGCGGTGAGACGCGGGTTGCCCGGAGAGG